GCAGTCACCTCCATAAAACATACAATGAAATACTGGATCAGAATCCTCAATATGGAAGCTAACCGATTACCATTTATATGCTTAACTGAACTAATGAATTTGTCCCGAAATTCAAATATCCACATAGGTCTGGCTAAAACCATTAATGACATACTGAATTCCACTGGTTTTTCTTATCTGATTAATTGCAACGATAAGGACTTTCTTCAACATGAACTGCCACTGATTACTAGAACAGCAATAGATCAATCCATACAAGGTGACTGGGCGAGATTCAATAATACAAAACTATATCCTTACTATATAAACCTGAAGAAAACATCCCTTCCTGAAGGATATCTGTCAGACAATCTTCCATTCATTGTTAAACGACACATTGCCAACTGCGAGTACTTTACACATTCTTCCGGGAAAATCACAAGAAGATTTTCGGAGAAGCGGAACTGTTATGTAAGCTCTGTAAGCAGAAAATGAACTCCGAAATATCTCACAATTTTTTTCACTGTACAAGTATTTCAGATGAAAGAAAAGCATTTATTTCGAAACAGGATAAAAAGGCATCGTTACTGTTACTTTAAATTGAGTGAATATGTATATATGTGTATATATATTATAAAAAAAAATTGTTGTTGTTCACTTCTTTATCTCTTTCTTACTTTGCTTCTTGGATCCCGCAGTCGAGTCTTTTGTAAGACTTTGGGTCTTAATGGGGGCTTTTGTTGTTATGTTGCATATATGTATGTGTATGTATATATCATACTTACATAATCTTTCTTGTTCTTCTTCTGTATATTCCCCAATTTCACAGGCCTATCTCTCTTGTAATATCGGGGAGAATCCTCTATAAGACCAGTGTGTCTTTATAAAGGCTTTTGTGTGTGTGTGTTTAGATATCTCTCAGTTTTTTTTAAAGATTCATGAAAAAAAGATAAATACTTTCACCTCTCAGTGTTGCATATATAAGCAGAATGATCCAATACAGTATTATAGCTCTAAAGAAGTAGTCTGGTAGATTAAATTGGTAAATCCGCTGGGAGGGTTCAGTACTGATGAGCCAATCCCTTCCAATATTATTTCATCGCAATAAGGACAGTAGAAGTTTGATATAGTTGTGAAAATAAACATTGGCGTTTTAATGTCTTCATTCGCTAAATACTTTCCTTATTAAAATAAATTTGTTTTAAGATTACACTCTATGTTCTGGTCTCACATATATTCTTGATATAGACCAATCGAATATTGACATGAAGCCAACCTCCCAAGACGGTGCAATATAATTCGAAAAAGTAAAGAATGTATAATACCTAAAGTTTAAAATACGTCTAATTGGTCCTTTGTGTATTATTTTCAGAAGTGAAATGCTTAATGCAATTATTTATATATTGTTGCACCAGGTTGCGGCTTGGCAGACTCTTCAGCCTGGATTCTCTCCTGTGCTGGGTCTTGCATCTTACCAGAGCGTGTTTCAACCATCCTACAAATTTATAAAAGGGAATAATGAGATAAGTCTTCTTTAAGTAGCCACCAGAATCCTTCTTTATTTTCCAACATCAAAGAGAGCAGTGAAGTCACAGTGTACCTAAATACAAATGATTATAATCTAAAAATAATCTGTTTTAAATAAATATCATAGAATATAAAAATAAATAAATATATAATTTAAATTTCAAATATATTAAAAATAATATAATAAATACGCCATTAATCATGATGTAACAATATATATACTTCCACTGTCCTATAAGCATATGTCTAGATAGATTCAATAAATATCTTAACCAAAAATTCCTTTCAAGAGCCAGATATACACTGCGTGACATTGAAAATGGAACACCAAGAAATAGTGGCCAGAAAGTGACGAAACTCGGCAGACAGAGAGAGACAGGGACGAACAATAAGTGATCTTTATTTCAAAATGATAGTCATAATACAGAGCGAGAACGGCGTCGGCTTAGTAGCAAGTAGGACCACCGCGGACGGCGATGCACGCAGCAACACGTCTAGGTAGAGAGTCAATCAGAGTACGGATGGCGTCCTGAGGGATGGCTCTCCATTCCCTTTCAACCATTTGCCACAGTTCGTCTTCTGAACGCGGCTGTGGCAAGGCATGCAAACGGCGTCCAATGATGTCCCAGACGTGCTCGATTGGTGAGAGATCAGGAGAGTACGGTGGCCAGGGAAGCATCTGTACATCTTGCAGAGCTTGTTGGCTAATGCGAGCAGTGTGCGGTCGGGCGTTATCCTGCTGATAAAGGGCATTGGGTACCCCCTGAAGGTAGGGGAGTGTCACCGGTCGCAGCACATCATCAACGTATCGTTGGGCCGTCATAGTGCCCTGAATACGAAGTAAAGGTGACCTGGAATCAAACGCGATTGCGCCCCAAACCATGATTCCACGTTGTCGCACGGTGGGGCGTTCCACAATTGCTGCCGGATTGGACCTTTCTCCACGTCGACGCCACACGCGTACACGGCGACTATCACTGGACAAGCAGAAACGCGACTCATCTGAGAACACGACCCTGTGCCATTCCGTCATCCACGTCGATCTAGCCCGGCACCATTCCAAACGTTGGCGCCTATTCGGTGGGGTCAAAGGCAGTCTTCTTAGCGGACGGCATGAGTGCAAGCCATTAGCAACCAATCGACGGGAAATGGTTCTGGTCGAGATGGAATGATCTAGGGTGTCTTCCACATGTTGCAGGATGGCGGTACAAGTGGCTTGTGGGGCCGCCACTGCTTGTCGAAGGATACGCCGATCCACACGTGCTGACGTCACTCTGGTTGCACCGGCATTCCTATAAATTGCCACATTTCCTTGTTCCAACCATCTTCTCCACAGTCGGTGCACCGTGGACGCACCAAGGTGTGTATCAGCTGCGATTTGACGTATGGACCAACCTGCCCATTACCTGTGTCTTTTGACACAAGAACAAAATTTCTACAATGATTTTCCTTGAAGAAATAACGACACGAATACTGTCCTTTCTGCAAGTTCCTTCCCTTATATCTTACTCCATGTGCGCACAAGAGCTGCGCATTTTACATCATTTGCATAACTCGGTGAGGCGCGTCTACCTTGAAATTTGCATAATTTTCTGGCCACTATTTCTTGGTGTTCCATTTTCAATGACACGCAGTGTATAAGAAGAGAACAGTCTAATGCAATATTACACTCATGAACAAAATTTAAGGAAATGCAAATTCTTTGGTGTCCCTGGTCATCTTTATTTTTTAAATGGAGAGAGGTAATTTTTTTCACACTTGGTTATCTCGTGTGTCTTTAAAAAATGTGACTGTGTATCAAATATCTTTCAGAGTTATTGTCTGAATCCTGGTAGACACGCTAAAAGATTCATCTTCCTTAAGTTTTGTCCATGAGTGTATCTTTCAGAGTTATTGTCCGAATCCCGATATACATGCTAAAAGATTCAACTTCCTTAAGTTCTGTCCATGAGTATATCTTTCAGAGTTATTGTCTGAATCCCGATATACATGTTAAAAGGTACAACTTCCTTAAGTTTTGTCCATGAGTGTATCTTTCAGAGTTATTGTCTGAATCCCAATATACATGTTAAAAGTTGCAACTTCCTTAAGTTTTGTCCATGAGGGTATCTTTCAAAGTTATTGTCTGAATCCCGATATACATGTTCAAAGGTAAAACTTCCTTGTGTCTATGAATGTATATTTATGTGTTTGTGTGCAAAAAGGAACTCTTCCTTCTACATGAAAATGAACTAAGAAACTAAATACACTTGACCAAGGTAGTTCTCCATTTACAAAAGAAACCTGATTAGATGAGGTGTTGAAACCCAACACCGAACTATTCCTTCTGTCGAGGTGCAATGTTAGCCAGGTAGCTTAATGCTGTGAGTTTCATTAGTAGATTTCTAATGTGATAGATTGATATTCTTAAAGCGCCTATATTTCAGCTATAGCTACAGCTGTTAATGATTACATTCAATTCATTTCTTATCAACTAACTGATTGGTGGGCAGTTTAATAGTCCTCCCAGAGCTTAGTTTCATTCTAGAACTAATCTTTTAAAAGCGTTGGTAGTGGTGTCATGTACATCCATGAAAAGGGGGGTGCCATTGCTCCGTTAGTCAGCCACATATCAGAGTTATCTGTAGGCCTTCATGATTACTGTATCGGCTCGGATCTCACGACACCGTACTTCGCCCTACAGGGCAGTTCCTTACTTGTGCTGCTTCTCCCGCCCGCCACGTAGAGGAGGACTTCTGTGCAGGTTTTAATAGAGTGTTATAAGGTACTTACTAAGCTTAGATCAGATAGTACACACACATATACACTCATATGAACAAAACTTAAGGAAGTGAAATGTCATCGAGCAATAAACTTTCGCGAATAATTCACAAAACATCAGTTATGCAGAATCTAAACGAAATCTATCAATATATACAATAAATAATAAAATTTATAACCTAATTCTTCTTTTTTTCCAATAAATACTGACCTCATTGTTGAGTCAAGCCCTCCAACTAGTTTCCCATTGCAGATATAAGAGTAGGAAACATTGTCTATTGTCACAGAATAATTTGTGGTGGACTTCTCGGTTTATCATCATCAGTCACGTGAAGTTAGTCAACATTTTATTTGTAAATATTTTGTTCAGATATCTCTCTGTTTTTTTAATATAGAAAATAATTGTAAATACTTTCCTTGTTAAAATAACTTTGTTTTAAGATTACCCGTTCTGGTCTCACTTATAATCTTGATATGGACCAATATAACATTGACATGAAGCCAACCCCCCAGGACGGTATAACAATTGCCAAAAAAAGTAAAAACAATATATAGTACAATATAATATATTGCGGCTTATGATTGTAAAACGACATTTGAAATACTATCCCGCATGTGTTTGAAAAGAATCACATGCGGGATAGTATTTCAAATGTCGTTTTACAATCATAAGCCGCATTATATTATATTGTATTATAAATTACTTTATGTATTATTTACGAACGGAAAAATATGTTCAGGGAAGCCTAGTGTACATGGCATCTGCCCGGTAAGCGGAACACTGTGGGTTCGATTCCCATCCCTGGACACTTTTATTTTTCCGTTTATCGTTACTCTTCTCAATTCACCCTTTTATACCTCATCCAAAAGGTTAGAAATGGTCGTTATTTCTCCTTGAAATAAATTTTGATTTTTCGTTGAAAAGAAACATATTCGGGATAGTATTTCAAATTTCGTTTTACAATATATATAATGTTATAAATAAAGAAAGCATATCCTGACCAGGAGCACATGTGCTTTTTAGATGGCAGAGCGCCATCTGGTAGAACAGAAATCAACTAAACATTGATTTACCCTGTTCCCTGATATTTGGCCGACCCGTTTTCTTGACAAATCAAGGAAAGCCATCCAACAACGTATTTCGCGCTGTTGGCGCTCGTCAACGTGGAGTAGGCTGTACCACTGCGACCAAAAATCTTTTTAGTCCCAGAGGCTTCTTGAGAAACCAAGAAATGGGCATTTAAGGTCGAATTTGCGTAAATACGCTTAAAATGTAGAAATACAATAGAAAAATAATTAAAAATAAAATATAAAAAATAAATTATATTAAAAAATACTGATTTATCATTTTTTAAAAATATAATTTATTAAAAAAAACTGATTTATCAGGGGGGGAGAAGTCCGACCACACCTCCCTGCTGTCCCCCCTGGACCCTTGGAATATTCGACCAAATTCTGGTTCGTTTCCAAGGTGACTAACGTGGCAACGGCACCCATTTTCAAATGAAGAGCAAGATAGTGGATATTGCTGCTGATGTGATGGAGATGCATGGAGACATCTGAGACTCTTCTTTGGACACGACAACAACAATAACAACAACAACTGATTTATCAAGAAAATGGGTTGGCCAAATATCAGGGAATAGGCTGATTCAATGTTTAGTTGATTTCTGTTCCATTAGATGGCGCTCTGCCTTCTAAAAAACACATGTGCTCCTGGTCAGGATATGCCTTCTTCATTTTTAATATAAACACCTGACCTTTTTATTTATTTTTTATATTATTTTTCTCTCACAAATATAGTGTTTTAAATAGCATAATTTACTTTACATAAATGTTTCCTTGATATCTAATGTTTGAATTTTCTATAATTGGCCCCCCTTTATGTATTATTTGCAGAAGAGAATTTCTTAAATTAAGTACTGATATAACTACTCTGATCAAAAAGTTTCGACACTTTGCTCATAAAATCCTGACTACTTAATATATTTTCTCCCGGTTTGTGGCAAACGCAAGCGTCGCCCTTGGCTTGGAGACCTGCTAATTTTCAAAAATCACGCGCCACAACAGCGCGAGCAACGGCTGTTCGAAAGTGAAGCTATTTTTCCCGTGCTTCGATTTCGTTAGTCACCGAAATGGAGGATCAACGAATTTGCATCAAGTTCTGTGTGAAAAACGGATTCAAGGGTGCCGAAATTTTTGGATGTTGCAAACAGCCTACGGGGATGCCGTCATGAGCCGAAGACGAGGTTTCGAGTGGTACAAGCGCTTCAAGGAGGGTCGGGAAGAGACCGCCGACAACGAGCGTTCCGGGAGACCGTCTACATCAACCACGCCTGAAAAAGTGGACGAGGTGTTGGAACTGGTGCGTGAAGACCAACGAATAACTGTCAGGGAGGTCGCCGAAGAAGCAGGGATATCATTCGAGTCGACTCAATCGATAATCAAGGATATTTTGGGAGTGAGAAGATTCAACGCCGTTCTCGTTCCCAAAGATTTGACTTTTGATCAAAAGAACGCCCGGAAATAAATGGTCAGTCTCAATCTCGAAGCGACAACCGACGACCCCGAATTGCTGAAGAGGGTCATTACTGGAGACAAAACATGGATTTACGGCTTTGATTCGGAAACTACCCAACAGGCATCGGAGTGGCGCTTCAAAATTGAGCCGAGACCAAAGAAAGTGAGGAAGGCTCCCAGCAAAGTCAAGGTCATGTTGACGGTGTTCTTCGATTACCAGGGCATCGTTCATCATGAATTTCAACAACAAGGCTCTACAATAACTGCTGACTCCTACCTGGGAGTTTTGAGGCGATTGAGGGAAGCGATCAGGCAGAAACGGCCGGAGCTGTGGAGGAGCAAGTCGTGGATCCTCCACCACGATAACGCGCCGGCGCACACAGCCTTCAAAATCTCGAAGTTCCTGCCGGACCACTCAACCTCTGTGTTCCCCCAACCCCCTACAGTTCCGATACTTCAGAGCATAGAATAGATCAAAGTGGAATCGAAGAAGGCCATGAAGGCGATCCCGAAAAGAGACTACCAGGGGTGTTTTGCCGACTGGAAAAAAATGTGGCTGAAGTGCATCGCGGCCAACGGGAACTACTTTGAAGGGGACAATTTGAATTTGGTAGAATAGTAAAGTTTTTTTAACTTATGAGCAAAGTGTCGAAACTTTTTGATCAGAGTAGTATTTATACTTCTACCGTTCTATAAATAAGCATATGTCTACAGATTCATTAAATAATATATCCAAGAATTCCTTCCAAGTGCCGGGTATATGAGTATCACAGCCCAATATATTAGTACACTCATTGACAAAACTTACTGAAGTGGAAAGTATCTGGTGTCTCCGATTATTTGTTTTTTTTTTATTAAGGAAAAAGAGGCAATTTTGTTCACATTTGGTTATTTCGTATGTCTTCAATAAATGTCACTGTGCATCAAATATCTTTCAGATATATTGTCTGAATCCCGATATACATGCTAAAAGGTACAACTTCCTTAAGATTTGTTCGTGAGTGTATCTTTCAGAGTTATTGTCCGAATCCCGATATACATGCTAAAAGGTACAACTTCCTTAAGTTTTTTCCATGAGTGTATCTTTCAGAGTTATTGTCCGAATCCCGATATACATGCTAAAAGGTACAACTTCCTTGAGTTTTGTCCATGAGTGTGTCTTTCAGAGTTATTGTCCGAATCCCGATATACATGCTAAAAGGTATAACTTCCTTAAATTTTGTCCATAAGTGTATCTTTCAGAGTTATCGTCTGAATGCCGATATATATGCCAAAAGATTCAATTTCCATAAGTTTTGTCCATGAGTGTATCTTTCAGAGTTATTGTCTGAATCCAGGTATACATGCTAAAAGATTCAATTTCCTTAAACTTCGTCCATGAGTGTATATACTCATATATACACTCATATATATACTCATATATTTTAACTTTTATTGAAAATTACCAGAATATTTGAAATTATTGTCATATCTATAAGTTGGACCCCTCTCTCTACATATTTAATATGAAGCAATGTTCTGGCACATTTCTATATGGTAACAGCCATTATCCCCATTGATTGGTTAAAAGAAATCACGAAGTAAATCCAAATAATACATCCAATGGCACTAAGCAAAAACTATAATGGGCTGGCGAGCTCGCCAATTATCTTGGTTGAGTGCGGAATTAAAGAACAGTCTATTTATCGGAGCCAAGATGGAAATAATTCTATATATTATCTTTATATTTATATATATATTGACAGAAAACATATCATATACTTAGTCTAGTCATAAAGAGTGTTACAAAACCAAATCAGTGATAAAATATTTAATTTAACCGCGTGAAGTATTCAAAATACAGTAGTTGTTATTTGAATATCTCGTGCACACGTGTTTAGAAAAAAAAAACGGATTATGGAAACGGATTTGTTTTTTTTTTTATAATGGATTGGGGTGTTAAAAAAACCGTATATCTGTAATAGCCTTACACAAGGTAGACCAAAGTCCTTTATCCATTTTTAAACTTTTACAAAATTTGAATATTACGCGTCAATTTGTTTATCGAACCATTGAAAGGTTCAACAAGGCTGGCACTATCAATGGACCTTGAAAGATCTGGTCGACCGCGCGTGGTCGGTGGCATGAGATAATCCTTTTCACAGACGAGAAAATGTTCACTGTCGAGGAAAAGATTAATCGTCAGAATGATAGGATATATGCTCGTAGCACTCTAGAAGCTTCTTTGAAAGTCAGAAGATTTGAAAAAAGTCACCATCCTTCTTCTTTCATGGTTTGGTGGGGAGTTAGCTACCAAGGTGTAATAGATCTCTACTTCTGTGCTAAAGGGGTATAAACTACAGCTAAAAACTATCAAAAATATATTTTGGAAAAAATAGTAAAGCCTCTGAATACAAAAATGTTTAATGGAGAACATTGGATATTTCAACCAGATTCAGCTCCTGCTCACAAAGCTAAGTCAACTCAACAATGGTTGGAGACGAATGTTCCGGAGTTCATAAAGGCCAATAAATGGCCCTCTGGATGCCCTGATTTAAACCCCTCGATTACAGTTTGTGGGGATATTTAGAAGAGAAGGTGTGCTCTAAAAGATATCATAATTTGGATCAATTGAAATCAGCATTGGTGAGAGCAATTAAGAAATACCCTTAGAAATAGTTCGTGCCGCCATAGATCAGTGGTCCGAACGTTTAAGATCCTGTGTCAAAAATAAGGGAGGACATTTTGAATGATTGTATATATATATTTAAAATATATATCCTATTGGCTAATAAAATATGTATTTATATTCCATTAGTTTTTGTTCTTAATCATTTAATGTATAAAATTGCTTGTAACGGAATTTATGGCTAGACTGTGTTTATGTGACTATCAACAAATGTATAACTGGCTAAATACTGCACTGATGATGACAGAAGCTATACTTTTGAATATTTTGAAAATTTATAAAGCTGTGAATAATATCGAATTTATTAAAACTTGATATTTATTTTCTAAGTTGACATCTTGCTGTTATAGAGGACACTTCTTGTACTGACACGGTGGACATCGACACCTGCTACTCTGGATGTCTTCCTGACTGCACGTAAGTTGGCGCTACTGTAATTTCCATAACTCTTCTTTGTTCTTACTTATCCCAAGTCCCCGTGATACGGGCCATGGTGGGTAGTTATATACTACTTTTATCTGCTTTCTTTTCTCCACTCAATCATATTAGTGTATCAAGTTGTGACCCTTGATGGTGTCTGTTTGCCAACCATCATGACTGGGTGAAGTAGAATGCCTTTGT